CGCAAGCGGGTATGACTCAATGAGGTGTTTTCCTCATTTCTATCGTCCTCAAATGCGCCAACAGCTGCTGAGCAGGTCCTTTCCCTTTAATTCTTCTAAACTATGCGAAAGGACACGATTACATGGAAAAGAAGCCACTTTGTAATTACAAGTACGGTGCACTTGGCAGGCGACATGGCATTGGGCATTGGAGCAGCACCGCAAGATCCACGAGAAAGATGCATCAGGTCGAGCCAACTAGGAAACTGTAAGGGATGATAACTACCGAAATGATTACAGATATACTTCCGTGCCTTTTCATGGAGAGACACTTGTTCCGACGAAAGATCCTGTTTATTAACCATCGCAGGACCTGCTCATCATTTCCCATACACTAACCACTTTGCACAGATCATGAAGAAAACGATTAGCATGTTCATTTTAACGAAACGTTATTATCATGATATGCCTAAGATCAGGGATCTTTTTCTCCTTCCAAAGCATGTAAATGATTAACACTTCATGGGAAGGAAACAGGAGATTACGTGCTATAGCGCAAACCTAACCGCGTATACAACCGTGATAAAACAATAAAGCATTTCTTGCTGATAACACAGAAATAGACAAGTAATACCGTACAATAAGCTCTGTAAAAGACTGTGTATCAGATGGTTCTCATTCATAGACGTAGAAGAGAGACAGACATTCCATCGATTAGAGACCTTCTTTTCCATTTGCGAGACAAAAAGCAAAGATGTAAGTACAATGAGGAGGTCAAATTTCTGTGCCAAATCTTGAAGAAGGTTCTGGCACGCAGTGGATGGAAAAAGGCTTGTGATCATTGAAAATTGCAGTATTATATTTTCCTCTCTAGGGCAAAAAGTTTCAAATTAATTAACAGATACTTTTATTTACACCAGTAAGAAAATACATGCACCGTTAGACAAAGTGACTGTATTCAATTGCTTTCCTCTCGCTGGCACCGGTGTACGGAGAGTAACGATGCTCCGGGTGGATATATTCCAAATAACTACACTCAACACAAGTCAATGAATGGAACAAAAGCTTTCGATGCGAAACTAACTTAATTTTAATAAGTAACACTACGATTGTGTTTGAGAACAATAGAATTGAAATCATTGAAAAGGTTTCAGTAATTCCAAAGGCACCCGTGCTGCCTATTTTGCCGTTTGCTCTGTTTCGATAAAAAAGGGGAGACACCCTTGTTGCCTTAAAATGACAGTGTTCGCGGAATTGTACAGTACTCGATTTGTGCTCCTAACTTTTCTGAACTACAGAAATGGCCTTCAATCACTCTCATTAATCATTTGATTACAGAAAGCGTTGGCATGCGCTTAAAAATCTATAGCCATTATTTGCTTAATAGTTCGGCCTATATTGGGCATTTCAATTGGATCATTTGGACCGGCCAGAAATCGTAACTCATCCTTCGCTCCTTGCAGTTCTTAGCCTTCCCTCACCAAGCACAGCCTTTCCAGCTCCTGATATAATCTTCCCACTATCGCCAAAAACGAACAGAATGCGTACTCCGAACCGCAAGGGTACCGGTCGACGGTCATCGCCAACCATTTCCTGCCGGCGAGTCGAGTTATGTGTCCGGTTCACCACCTCAGCTTCTCCTTCCTACATTCGACGTCCTTCACGTCCCTGTTGGAAATGTGATCGTGAAGGGATTCCCGTCAGTCTGCTTTCTCTATATCTCTCTC